ACTAGCATATGAATCCCAGCAGTCAAAGTCAGGAACCTGTTTGACTGACTTTGTAAGACAATATATAAGTAGATACTGTTGTATTTATAAACATTTGATTATGCAGTGAATGTTTATCCTGCTGGAGGTGGGGACAGGTTCGACAAGTGGGGACACCAACTTCTAAAGTTTGCTGGTCTTAGCTGGTGCTCAGTTGGTATAGCTGGTCAGCAAACTGCTCTCCCAGCCTGACAACCCAGCTGAAAACCCCAGCCTGACAAATCTGGAAGACTAACTAAGGCCAGCAAATCAGCCTATAGACTGGTTTATGCAGTTGTTTTTGACAAGTTAATCCAAATATTCCCATATAGTTTCTCATTTTGGCTAGTTTATCAGGTTATTTTGTAGCAACTGTTGGACTGATGGTTTAGTAGTCCTTGACATACAACTTAAGGATAAAATTAGTTTTTCATTTATAATTTCCAAGCTATTTAATAGCTACATTATCAATATTTTGATCGACAGTGTGTGTGTGTGTGTAAACCATAGAATATATTAATAAAACACAGAAAAGTATTGATAATGTAATTTTTTTTTCAAATAATTGATTAAAATTGGCAGAGCCCCAAATTGTGGACTATGTAAACATGCTGTAGTATCATATCCCTGCCACCAGAGGCTTACACATGACCTTAAATGACTTGCAAACAGGGCAAGGTTACAAAAGCTGTGTTCTCAGAAAAAAATGAACACATCCAATGTACTTATCGTGTTTCTGATTATGTTTGTGTGCTTGTGGGCGATTAGGACTGTGGTTATGGTGTAGGAGTGTCGGCAGTGTGTGACGTATGTGAAGTTCGGTGGTTTAAGGAAGTCTGGGGTTCTCACCCTTGCGCACTGTGCCAGAACTGCCGCAGACTCAACAGACACCAAATCAAGCACTGCACTCACACAGACAATGCAGTGTGTGGAAACTGCCTCCCTGGGTGAGACTTTCTCACACATACACACAAAACAACCTTTATGACACATGACGTTTATAACTGATAATTGTGATCAACCCACACACGACTGATTGCATGCAACTTCACACCCAAAACTTCATAGACTCACACACACACACACACACACACACACAAACTGAACTTGCCTGAACCTGCCACTCGACCTGCCACCACCAAATGCGCCTGCCCCCGGACCTGCCACCGCTATGTGCGCCTGCCACTCGACCTGCCACCGCCAAATGCGCCTGCCCCTGGACCTGCCACCGGTATGTGCGCCTGCCATTTGACCTGCCACCGCCAAATGCGCCTGCCTCCAGACCTGCCACCGCTATGTGCGCCTGCCACTCGACCTGCCACCACCAAATGCGCCTGCCATGTTACCCGTAACCACTGAATGCACTTGCCTCACGACCCGCCACCGCTATAGCAAACAGGTGGCGCGACGCTTAGGTGCTGCGCGCTCCATTATGGATTTAAAAAGAGGATTAAACATAAGACAATGCAGTGTAGAATTGCACAGTCTGTTTGCTTACATGCATCAATTGGAGTGTAAACAGTGAGAGATTTGATGATGGATTTAAAGGGTGGAATAAGCTGGCAAATAGGTAAATAAATGTAGAAATGGACTGTTTGTTTGTTTATATGCATCATTCACAGTGTAAACAGAGAGAGATGTTGAGGCAGGCGTGACGCTTCAGTGCTGCCCATGCCATTGTGGATTTAAAGGGAGGAATAAAACATAAGTTATGTGGCAAATAGGTTAATAATTGTAGAAATGCGCTGTTTGTTTGTTTATATGCACCAATCAGAGTGTATACAGTGAGAGATTTTAAGGCAGGTGCGACGCTAAACTGTGGCAGGCTCGACGCTTCGGTGCTGCGCGCGCCGTTATGCATTTAAAGAGAGGAATAAAACATATGTTATGTGGCAAATAGGTTAATAATTGTAGAAATGCACTGTTTGTTTGTTTGTTTATATGCATCAATCAGAGTGTAAACAGAGAGAGATGTTGCAGGCGCGACGCTAAGTTGTGGCAGGCGCAACACTTTGGTGCTGTGCACGCTGTTATGCATTTAAAGGGAGGAATAAAACATATGTTATGTGGCAAATAGGTTAATAATTGTAGAAATGCACTGTTTGTTTGTTTGTTTATATGCATCAATCGGAGTGTAAATGGGGAGAGATGTTGAAGCAGGCGTGACGCCTCGGTGCTGCATGCGCCATTATGCTTTTAAAGGGAGGAAATCAATTGAAAACGCTCTCTCCGCTGAGCTTGCTTATTTGCGGCATTAAGTTATGGTTAATCCTCTCTTTAAAGCCATAATGGAGCGCACAGCACCTGAGTGTCGCACCACCTGTTCGCAATAGCGGTGACGAGTCGCGAGGCAAGCGCATTCAGCGGGCAGGGTAACGTGGCAGGTCAAGTGGCAGGCGCACATAGCGGTGGCAGGTCGAGTGGCAGGCGCATTTAGTGGTGGCAAGTCGAGTGGCAGCTGCCACTGGGAGGTGCAAAGATTTTACCCTTACTGAAATTCTGTCATCATTTATTCACCCTCAGGTAGGAGTGTAACGATTTGTTCGTTTTCTCAATGCATTGATTACAAACCCTGACGATGCATATGCATTGATCTTGAAACATGGATTTTTGAATCGTGAATTGTTGATTTCGGCCAATAATCGATTTAAAACGCTAAGAATTGAATGAATCACGATTTCAATGCTTAAAAAAAATGCGTTCGTTATTAGAGCAAACAGACATCGGGTGCATTTACTTTCAGAATCATCATTCGCCGATAGAAATGTTAAATACTGTGCCATTTTATTTTATGAAAATAAGATTAAGAAACTCACATCATTCAAAGGTGTGTCACCAATTATTGCAAGTATACTTCAGGTACACTTTAAATATCTTGCATTTAAAGACATTTATTATTCAAATATCATACAAACCTCATCATTAGTGACATTAAAACACATTTTAGGCTTAATAATAAAGTAACTCCAAATAAAGTTTAATTCGACTTTTTAAATCAATCAGTAAGTCTCGAGTGATGCAGTAAATATGTTAATATTCGTTTGAAATAAATGTAGGCGATTTTAAATATATTACTTTTTACTAGGGTAAATTTCTACATATGCCATATGTCATGCTATAGCATCATTAAACTAACATCTAACAATGGAAAAGTGTTTTCTTTTTTTGTTTGTTTGTTTGCCCTCTCTGACTCCTTAAAGGCTGCTGTGTAATTTGCCCCCTGACTAAGCATTTAAAGAATTTAGGGGAAGCATTTAAATAATACTGTGAATGCACTTAAAGAATGCACAATCGTTAATTGAATCGCATCGAATTTAATTGTGAATCGCCTCGAATTGAATCATTCTGAATTTGCAAAAATCGTTCTTGAATCGCATCGAAACCTTATGAATCGAATCGATTCGCTGTTTACCCAATGATTCACAGCCCTACCCTCAGGTTGTTCCAAACCTGTTTGAGAGATTCCTTCTTCTGCACATAACAAAAGGAGGTCATTTTAATGAGTATCCATTTGGTGTAATTGCTAAACATTTCAAGTGAAAAACAACCTGATATTTAAGCCATCCATCTTATTTTTAACATTAAAGTAAGTTTCACAGCGTGTATTTTTTCAGCACCCATGTTAAAAGGATAGTTCATGCAAAAATGAAAATGAGCATGCACACAGAAACGCGCCTCTCAGACAGCGCACAAGTACTGAATTCAGTTCTTTTCGTGTCTTATCGCACATGAACAGAGATATACACACAGAATGATGTCTGTGAATTGTCTGTTTTGATGAGTACTCACGTAAACACACTTGGTTATGTGAACAGAAGCAGTTGGGAGAATATCAGATGTGTATCAGTATATTGCATCCGTGCATTCGGTTTTAAGTGGACAGCATGTTAATCAAGCAACAAAAGAAAGAGAGAAAATCTTTCATGCTTAAAGACACACTTTCTTCACATTTTCATCCTCTAAAATTTGTGGTACTCTCTTCACCCCTGCTCGCACTCATTCTTTCCATGCTCTTATCTGAGCTTCAGTACTTTTACCCCTTTTCTCACTGTTTTATCTCTATTCTCTTTATTCTCTCAATGTGATTACGGGTTAAGTAAGGGAGAAGGTATTTATCCAGCAAGGATCAGTCAATGCTCTTTGAAAGTGCTCAGCATGGACTGAGGGTCGATCCTCCCTGAACCCACTTCATCATGGATTGACAGAGGTCTTTTAGCATTCTGCTGATCAGATACACCACCAGCAACAGGAAGAGGGGGGCTTAGAAAGAAAGAGAAGGCAACAGAATAAGGCAGCTGCGGTTGTTGTGTTTGTAAAAGCCAGACTCATTAAGATTTGCCGTGCTATTGATTCATATCCTTATAGTTGTTGATGAGTGTTTTCTAAAAACTTTGGAATCTGTTGATTGTGTTTTAAAAGAATAGTTTACATAGACAAGAAAATTCCATCAGGATTTATTCACTCTCATGTCATTCCAAACCTATATCGTGCTTATTTTAAGTGGAACACTAAGAAGAATTTCTTGAAGAATATGAAAAAATTGTGATCATGTTTGTTAAGCTTCAAAAAAGGCACAAAAAGTAGTTCATTGGACTTGTGTGTTATATTCCAAGTCTTCTGCAGCCACACAATTTATGTAATGAAATGTTGTTAATAACTAATAATAATCTTCCTCTCCAGTGATCATTGAGTCAGTGAGTCACCTGAGAACTGAATCTTTAAACAAATCATTATTTTGACCACTGATTTTTTTTTTCAATTGTCTGTTTCATATAAATCAGTCAGATTAATGTTTGTACTATTTACTGACATAGTAAAAGACCCAAAACATACAACCTTCAAAGTGCTTAATTACCAAACCAAATAAATAAATAAAATTACTGAATTACCTCTTCAACAAAAGAAAGAAAGAGTAAATAATGACAGAATTTTAGAATGAAAGTTGATCTTGGTAGTATGTGTTCTAACTGATTCTTCCATTTTTAGGTGAAGGGGGGACTGGTGTTGCAAAAGCCCAGACCTCAGCACCTCCCATCCAAAATGTATCGTCCATATTGACTGCTTGTGCAGCAACAGCTATATTAACAACCGTCCTATTTACAATTGTGTGTGTGACCTACCAGACACGGTCTTCACTCCGGAAAACATGCAAACGTATGAATATACATACACTGAATATACAGTACATACAACAGTAATCCACTAAACCACTAGGTGTGGCTTAAACATAAATGTAACTCACATTTCATTCAACCTCTACTCTCAGGTTGTTTATCACCAGTCAGTAACGGTCACCGTGACAGTGATGCAGCTTCGGTTCCAATGACAACCCTGCACACAGTGATGCAGGACGCAGAAGTGGACACATCAAGTAAGTGTGCATGACAGGCTTTGAGTTACAGCTTGATTACAGACACAATGAGAATGTGATGTAAAAAAACAAAAAACAATTCCGCCTATACACCACATGGCAAAAAAAATCACTTTCAAAAAGAGATTCAAGCTATCCGCAATCCGCCATTTTCTCTATTTTCACAATGGCTTTTCAAATGTGTTTCAGAAGAGTAGAAAAGAATAATTCATATTTTTAACTAGACCACAAAAGATGATTTAAAAAAAAATGTCCAGCATGCTCGTCCATATAAAGGCAGTGGATAGAGATTAGCATCAAGTTTTCAAAAATAGCTGAAAAAATATCACAGAATTGGGGATGCAACGAAATGAAAATTATTGGCCAAAGCCGAACAAAAGGAAACACTGGGCCAAAGGTTGGATACCGAACACGGGTTTTCGCATTTTTTCCTCATGTATTTTGCCAATTTTTTTCACCAATACATAAATTAAATAGCCAAAATGTGCTTTTTACTGTTTTGTCTTGTTTTTCAAAGAAAAAATCAATTAAAAAACAATTATTTCAAAATATTTACTTAACACTGAATGTTTTCTAACATTCTAGCAGACATTATACCAACAAAGCACAATTTAACTTAAAATTAATAAGTTAGTAAATTAATATTCTTGGGCCATTTTTGAGACTTGAATCAGGCATGTATTTTTTTTACTGTACAAATAAAAGCAGCCGAGCAGAAGATAATTATTTTAAAACATTAGAATATATTACAGATCCCAATTTGAACACTATGTGTGAATGTTATAATAAATGTATTAATAGTAGGGGTGCTCCGATAGATCAGCTACCGATCACTATCGGCCGATAATCACGTTGGGATGATTGATCGGCGGTCTCTAAAAGGCCGATCTCAAAAAAATGATCTCAAGCTGATGACGCTGCCGTGAAAGGTTTGGCACGACATGCAGCGGCACCGTCTCAGTCTCTGTCCAGCGCGGGTGAAATAATTATAATGCTATTATATCATATTTTTTCATTAAATAACTTATAAAGTAATTTGAAAACCTTGTGTGAGACGTAATTTCACAAATCACCACGCGCACGCGCTCTCTCTTTCTCTCTCAAAATATGCAAATGTCTTCAAATCACCACATCGCGTCTGTCTATAAGCGAGCTGCACAGTTGACACAGGAATTGTCACTTGCACAGTCCAGGCAGTGTCACATCGTCGCTAAAGTTTATAAATTGCATTTCTTTTTAATTCTTGCCAGTGTTTAACCATTCAGCGCTCGCGTGCTCTCCTGGAGACTGTGTGCTCGTGCACACTCGAAGCGCACACACATAATGCCAGGTTCACATTACTCTGTTTGCAGTGCATAACGTCTGTCTATAAGCGAGCTGCACGCTGCACAGTTGACACAGGAATTGTCACTTGCACAATCGAGGCAGTGTTGTCACTAAAGTTTATAAATTGCATTTCTTTTTAATTCTTGCCAGTGTTAACCATTCAGCGCTCGTGCACTCTCCTGGAGACTGTGTGCTCGTGCACACTCGAAGCGCACACACATAATGCCAGGTTCACATTACTCTGTTTGCAGTGCATACGTGGTGCGTATTTTTTCCGCGCTCATGTTAACGGATTAAAGCGTTCACTGCACGCGGACTCACACCGAGTCTATTTTTGCTGCCTGCAAGTGCTGAATTAAAGTAACAGCACATTGTTTGTAGTAAATATGAACATGGATTGACACGAAAATGTAGTTATTTAAATGCAAAAGGAAAAGCAGTAGAGCTGACTATTTCTGTCAGTGGTAAGTTTGTGATAACATAAGAAAAGTAGCTTAAATGTTTTGCCAACTGCTTGAGCAACTTAATATATAAATCTAGAAGTAAATGCAAAAGTAAAAAGCATTGAATAATAAACAGCCTGATTCAGTAGCGGACTCCTTTGTGAAAGCATAGTCCGTGCTGCTTCCCCTCTCACAAGAGTCACCTAAGAGGGGAATTTCCCCATTTTCAAAAATGAAATTCAGGCCCTGAATAAATGTCTAAAAAATCCTGATTGGAGTATCACTATAAATAGTTATAAATTATAAAAAGAAGGCTTTAAAAAG